TCAGATCAGGCATCCAGTAGTACCTTAGGCCTCTAGGCCCCCAGCATCTGCCACATGCTGAGGCCCAGGCTAGGCATCTGTAGTATCTTAGGCCTCTAGGCCCCCAGCATCTGCCACATGCTGAGGCCCAGGCTAGGCATCTGTAGTATCTTAGGCCTCTAGGCCGTTCTGTCCGTGCAACATGCTGCAACATGCTGAGGCACAGGCCAGACATCCTGTAGCACACAGGCTACCTCCCAGGGAGGGCCCCAGCGGAGGGAGTGAGTTCTGGAGAGACAAGTTGTTTTACATGCTGGTTTGTGAGTGTGCCATGATGTCTTTCTACTATTTTGAGTTCTGGAAGGTGCCCCCAAACCTTTTATCACCTTCCTTCAGCCATACCTCTGAGTCAGCCTGCTCAGGGATTGGTCAGAGTCAGGTGAATTGTCACAGTCTGAGGCTGGATCCTCCCTCACTGTATGCTGAGTACTCAACCCAGCAACATATGGGGAAGCAATCAATCCACCAGACTCAGGGAATCGTGCAGAACTCAGAGCAATCAGCATCCAGACTGATTACAGTCCAGATATACACTAAATTTAGTAGCGACATAGCAGAGGGCGCTTCACAATTTACGCGAAATGACCAATAGGACATATTTTCAGCCCAGGAGGTAAACACTTAACCACCTTCTTTTAAGAATTTTAGCATAGCATGACCACCTTTTGTGGTGTTTACTACCGTCTAAAGAAGGTACAAGGATTGTTTGTGTAGGGCTCACCTCCGAAGGAGCCGCTGGAATAACCCGGTTCATCACTAGTTGTCTATGGGTATGATCTTCAGCTGCCCCACTAGCATTTGACCGCTCTCTTCTAGTGCCCACAAAGCTGATGTTCTCTCCAGTAGTACAATACTGAATAACGTTTATGAAACTTCTCCATACTGGGGAGAGAGGTTATAGGGATCCTAGACATCCCGGGTGTAACAGACATAGACTCCAGACTCACCAGACCTTCTAAGCCTCTCAGTGTAGATCCACTTGGGGTACAGTGAATGGTAATTGGAGCAACAGATGAGCCGGGATGAGTACAGATCCTCAGCAGGAGAGACACCAGCCATGCGAGGTCCTCTCTGTTCCAGGCACCTCCAGCAGACATCAGCTTCTCTGGTTCTCTTCCTCTGGCAAACAGCACAGGCCTCCTCCATATTGGAGGCCTAGGGGAACACTTCCCTCACTCCAGCCTCTTCCCACCCCCAGGCCTCAGGCCTAGTCCTAGAGTTCGTCACTCTCGTTGTGGAGTGTGGAGTGACGAACTGAGAACCTGCAGGCTTACCGCTCGGAGACCTACCAAAATCCCCTGTGCTGTCTTGTCATCGGCAGAGGAATCATTCTCATATTCCCCAGGGAACTAAGGGCTGGCAGAGCTACAAAACCACAAGTATCCTGGGTCATTGACTTCCCTTAGTTTAATTAGTGGTATATGATGCGTACGGTCTCCCTACCGCACTTGGTGTAGTAGGGAACCGCTCACTGAACTACCTCATCAGACACCTAATCCCCACCTGTTCCGCAGCTGTGATCCAGTCACAAGCATTGTCACCTGCTTAGCCTTGGTCACATCCTCTGCCTAGGTCACATCCTCTGCCTTGAGAAAGGGACCCTGCGTGGCCCCGAAACGTCGGCTCTTTTTGATTGTCGTGACACCATGGTCCAATAAAAAGGACTTATTTATTTTTGAGTGCTGGTGACCTATTTCTTCAACTGTTCGTTTTGCACGGTGCCATCCGTGGAGTTATTGCAAGCACCATCTTTTCGTACTGGCCGGGATTGCTGAAAGGTGTGCGGAGAGCACCTTCACCCTACTGCAACTGCTTAGCCTTGACACATTGTCATGTCTGTGTAAACTTCAAACAGAGGAACCCTCATTGTCATGTGTGTGTAAACTTCAAACAGAGGAACCCTCATTGTCGCGTGTGTGTAAACTTCATACAGAGGAACCCTTGTTGTCATGTGTGTGTAAACTTCAAACAGAGGAACCCTTGTTTTCATGTGTGTAAACTTCACACAGAGGAACCCTCATTGTCGTGTGTGTGTGTAAACTTCACACAGATGAACCCTCATTGTCATGTGTGTGTAAACAGAGGAAGAACACTTCCCATCATGTGTGTGTAAACTTCACATAGAGGAATCCTCGCTAGAAGGCAGGCTTCTCTATCTGCCTCTTTGAAAACGTTTGTGGAATGTACACTGAATGTACATGTACAGCTCTGTGCACACTCTTGGCATGCCGAGTCCCCACAGCCCACTGTTAAGTTTTGTTGTCTTCATCTCGGGTTGGGTAGATTTTCCATCAGGTTGGAAGTAATGTAGATATATCACACACCCTCAAAAGCCCAGGGTCTTCAAAAGACTTATGAGGCCCTGTCATAAATGGACCCATTGTAAATAATTTGGCATGCAGCCTAGGAATACACATCTATGTTTTTTCCCATAAGGTAAGTATCACTCATTGTCTATAATCCTTACTGTACTGTAGTTACCTTCCTAGAAATTGGTTATACTAATGTATAAAAAGATGCCACTCAGTTAGACACCAAACACACCTAATTTACAAGGTCTAGAAGTCTAATGAGACACATTAGGCCCCCTAAGAGAACTATACATTAGATTTATATCATATATAGTATCTATTGAATCGTAATTTATTCCTATGATTGGGTGGAATTAATGCTGTCAGGTCAAGAAAAAGCTATTTCATCAAAACTACTGTAGCGCTCACCCCCAAAGGAGCCGCTGAATGCCCGGTTCATCTCTAGTCTGTCTAGGGTATGTTCTTCAGCTGCCCACCCATTAGCATTAACCGCCCTTCTTCTGGTGCCCGCAGACTGATATCCACTCTAGTAGTGCAATGCTGAACGTTTTAAGGTCCTTCTTGGAAGGAAGTTCATTCTTGATCTGAGCCATTATATCAATGGTGGTTCAGTAGAAAGTACTGTGGATACTTGGAGACTTTATACCCTGTACATGTAATACAGCTTTGAATAAAGACTTTATATTACTTATGGTTATTTGTTGATTATCGAATGGTCACATTGATGATGATGCAGTTTTTATGAACTCCTAGGTATGAATTGTTATGTTGTTTTTTGTAGATACTTCCAGGTCTATTCACAAAAGGGTGAAGAGTTTGGAGAAGGCCGGAGAAGTGAACAATTTTGTACAACAGAGCTGAACTGGAAAGTGGAAATGTTTCCAAATTAGCTCTGTTGTCCTAGATTGTTCCCTTCTCCGGCCTTCTCCAAACTCTTCACCCTCTTGTGAATAACCTCTCAGTTTCTAAAGCAAGTTGGTTAGACAATGTTTCTATTTTAAGGTAAACCTATCTCTAATGAAAACCTATAAATACTACAACGCCATCCATCAAGCACAAGTTTGTTGGCCTAACCCAAACCCTAGAGCACAAAGTGTCTTTCCAAAAAGCATTAGGAACCGAGTAGGGCACTTCAAGGTCTTCTTGGCTTCTCCAGCTTTCAGTTCTGGTCTTCCCCTCGAACTCCCACAATGCTACAGACAATGTTTCCATTTTCCAAGGAGGCCCATTTTAGGAAGCCTAGACTCGAGGGGAGAGCCAGAGACGAATGTTGGAAAAATGGTCAAGTCAAGGGGCTCCATGGGTAAAAGTCACTTTGTATTGATCTGAGGGAATGTCCTCGATGGTGGGGCTGCCATTAGTTAGACGTTGACAGAAAACCTGTTTACATTAAACCCAATGTAATCCACTTTACTAGCGGATCGTTAGAGGTTTCTAATGAAAAGCCGGTAATCTCTGTAGCATTTAGAAAGGAGGAAGAGTATGGGACCCCTTCTGCCCTTCAGAGACTTATGCCAGAGCTGCCTACTGACTGCTGGCAATGTGGCCAGGCCGGGGGTACCATGCTCCATGTGTTTTGGTCGTGCCCAAGAATCCAGAGCATTTGGGAGACGGTCGGGTCGCTACTGCACAAATTTACTGACCAACCTATCCCACTGACCCCGGCGTTCTTCCTTTTGCACCATAATACGAAACCTAAACGGTCCTATTTGAGATCTGTAATACCATATATGCTTAACGCGGCAAAAGCCTGCATTCCAGTGTTGTGGCGGGACACTCGGACCCCCAACGATTGGCATGTGGCTGAGTTACGTTAACGGGATCTGGAGAATGGAGGACTTGACTACGTCTTCCATGGGGACACATAATATCTTCTGCAAAGCAAGGTCCCCTTGGACGGAGTTCTTCTTCTCTCCGGAATATCAGGCATGTCTCACATCGGAAGCACCTGCCGGCCCTCAGGTGGCCTGAGTGCTCAAAGGTCGGTGGCCCGCTGGGAGTGAGATAACTCTTCTACCCCCTCTCTTTGTCTTTACCTCTGCTCTTGCCTGCCCTTTCAACCCTTGTCTCATGTTTGTCTTCTCTGACCCTACTACCTCAGATGCTTGGTTAACATACACTATATTGCCATAAGAACTAAGGGGCCAAGCCCAAGCCCTGAAAAAACAACCACACACCATAATCCCCCCTCCACCAAACTTTACACTTGGCACAATGCAGTCAGGCAAGTACCGTTCTCCTGGCAACCGCCAAACCCAGAAGCTGAGTATCTGCAATATTTTTGTATTGCTATTCCTGTTTTATAAAATAAAGAATTAAAAAAAGAAAGGACGAAGTTACACAGAACGGACTATGGTGAGAATTTTTGTTGGTCTTTTGAATAACCCGATTCATGTAGATTGGCCCAAACCTGGTCCCCAAAATGCTCAAAACCACCAAGATCCGTACACGCAAGAAGTGTTTTATTATAGATTTATTATATCTACACAGCTAATAACTGCACACAATCATCAGCCAATTTTAATCAGCGTTACATGGTGGAATCTTCTTGTATCTTCAAAAATTACAATTTAGAAGCTAAAACTGGGTCTCTGAAGATTTAAAGAGATATATACACACAAAGAATGCGATCATGTGATTTGAGGTCTCCTAAAATTCACAAATGACAAGGCACTTCTCTTCACAACTCTTATCATTCCAGGTTCCGTCTTTTCTCAGTTCTACACAGTCTTCCACTCCATACTCATTGTTGGGTTCACCAGGAGACCACTGCGAGTAGGAGATAACGTTGCCGTCTGGGTATCGGAAGGTGCCCTCGGTCTGTATGTCATTTATGCCCATAAATGCGTTAATGACGTATTGATTCCGGATGGAAAGCGCGGCTTTGTTTTCCGCTGAATTTCGTGGTGAAACCACCTGACCTCCAGCATTAAAGCATGTGGCTCTGGCATCATTATAAGTAGTTTGATCCCCATTTGATGTATAGATCTTGTCACCGCTTCTGGCACCCCCTTTGGAAAATGCAAAAGCTGAAATGGAAATGGGGGAGGGGAGACAAGAGGGAATTATTTAGTTGATTCTGAGACTTTGAGGTCTATAATGATCTCATACAGAGTCTACAGAGTCCAAGTACGATTCATATGAATGGAGACAGTCATAGCAATGAAGATGGTCCTTCTTTCCACACCTTGGTAGGTAAGCTGTGTCCCTCATAAATGGCCTCTATGGAGTGTTCAAGAAGTCTTGTAGGTCACCTCTGTATATGAGGGGCCATATACATATATAAAAGGCCTACTTTTTACGCTGTTTCAAAACATTGGCTACACTGCTAATATGCTTCAACCTCCCAGTTCATGGCAAGGGCCGATGTACTCCGGAATATAAAAGTGCTATATATTGCACTCTGTGACTCCATTGGGGAAATTTCCTTTCACTACCTCTCAGAAGGACAGGAAGTGATAGCAATCTCTCAAATGGGGTCAAGACAGCAACGAAAACATCCTTGTTCCCACTTCCCCTCTTATCACAGAGGTAACACAGAGACTCACGATGAAGGGAAGACTCTTCAATGGAGTCTACAACAACATAACCCGAGGCTCCGATCTCTCCATGCTCAACTATGAAGCAAATTCTGGCTGGCGTCAGGGCCAGATTTGCTCTCTCTGCTGCCCCAAGGCCAGGTTTCTCAATGGGCCCCCCTACCCGCCAACCCTCCCATGGAGAATGACAGGCCTGCAGGCTGCATACAAGTGATCTCAGCGAAACCACCGAGATAACTTGTACAAAACAAGCGGCGGCTTCCCTGCTGTACATTTAGCTCTGCTTGTCCAAAGCAGGGCTAAATGTAGAAAACAACTACCTGCCCGGCGCCCGGAACTGCATGTCCCGGACATCGAAATAGGAATTCCACATCCCTGCTGCCCCTCTACTCCCTGCTGCCCCAAGACTGGGCCTTGGTTGGCATTGTGGGAAATCCGGCCCTGGCTGGCGTACTGGAGTAGAGTTGTAAACTTAAAAAAGTCAACATCATGTTTAGCCGTCTTTATAGTAACTCATCAAGTTTTATTTTTTTTCCCAAAAAGAAGTAGTGCTTGTACACATCTCATACATGAGGATATATGACAAGATGACAGCATCAAGAACATGCAGTATAGAGCACTGTGGACCAACCAAGTCTTATTAGAGCATGTCCTCGGGATGATGCTACAAACACCACATTGGGAGGCACCAAGGAAGTGGGGGGATGCTAGTAGCATGAAATGTGTTATGGATCTAGGCTACTAAACAACAAGAGAGGTGGGAGGGGTAGGCAGGGTAAACGAATTCGGAACTTGGAGTCTGAATGTTGGGATACCATAGGTCACATCAGCTATTCACGCAACCCCAGTCCCTTTGCTGGGGACACATCTTAAAATTTTATTACTGTGGCTATGGGGAGATGGATGATAGATGACTAATAGGTGCTGCTCTTTTACAGCCTCTTTGGTTTTCCTTGTTCCTGTCCAGTGTGTCACATAAGATGCACTATATAGGTAAAGGTTTGTGAACAATGGAAACACAAGAGCGCAAAGGACTTACTTGTGGATCCTGGGAGTGTGACAAGGGATGACCCTGGTGGAGGGTCACAAGGGTATATGCACTCTGGGTATGTGGAGTGCGGGATTGACGTGGTTGCGATCAGATGATCGTGGCAGAGAGTCAGTGCGGTGCTGAAAGGGCTGTCGGGACTCATGCGAACCAAGCGGCTCTGGGTGGTGGAGAGATTGCTTGGTGCCGTTAAATGGAGTCAGAGGGCCGTGGGTCTGATGGAAATGGGTGACATCCAAGCCATGTGACAGCAGTATCTAGAGGCAGAGGAGTTCGGGCGGTCAAGGGAATGGTGATTGAAGGTGTGGGAAAGACAGGGGAGCAAGGAGCAATGCGTTTCGAGGGAGTCCTCTTTCTCAAGCTCAGAAAAAAAGCATGTTACTTGGGCGGGAGATCTGCCGGGTTTTAAAATGACAGGTGGGCGGGGCTAAAACAATGAACGCTGAATCAGGGAAAGCCCTGGCGTGTCTGAATCACTATAACGTGGCCCTCCCCGCATAGCTGTGTCAAGGTAAGATGCTTTGGGGCATATATAAACAAAAACTCTTATGTTTAAAATGGGAGATGAGAACGAAAGATGCGTGGGATAAAAAAAAACCTAAATTAAAATAGATGGAAATGTATAAGTACAAAGAATTAAGAAAATTAAAAATGAAACTAAATAAAAAGATAAAACCATGTATTTTATTAAAATACATTTTTTAAAATCGTGACGCTGTGGTCAATTGATGTACATGCCTTTTTGGTTGACGTGTGTTGGGCTCCATGAGCAAATGGGAAATGGGAATGGGATGGTGCTATGGCCTATTGAAAAGTGGTTGAGATGATCATGAGGATCTCTAATTCCTCATTAAGTCCTGAGGGAGCAAGGGTGTTAAGTTGGTAAATCCAATACGTTTCTCTTCTACATAACCGCTGAAAACGCTCAGGGGGGCGAGTAGTATTCTGGTATCTGTTCAATGGCAAATACATGTAGGTCTTGTACGCGTTTGCCATGTTTGTGTGCAAAATGTCGTGGGACGCTGTGATCTAGGTCCTTGGTTCTCAACTGGTGGGTCGTGACCCAAAAGTGGGCCGCGACCCCTTGTTCAGTGGGTCACCATGCGCCCTCCACTTTTCTAGGTGAGAGGCTACTCAGCCTCCCCCTACACTCCCCCTAGCGCAGCACTGATCATTCTTACACCAAGCAGCCATTCAAAATATGCTGCCCGGCGCCAAGTGCTGACTTGAGGTGGGGTGGGGTGGGCTAGGGGTATGGCCACGAGGGAGCTCCATCCATATGTACATTGCTTATACTGTAGCTCCTTTGCATATCCTGTAGAGGTGCCTGGACTGGAGTGACATCTCATTCTGGCTCCCAACTACTCTACAGGGACACATGGGAGCTGTGCAAGCAATGCACAAATGAATGGAGCTCCAGCACAGCAGCCCACACTGTTGTGCGTTCCATTGCACTACGACTCGGGTCGCAACCTAATGACTGAGGACAAATGTGGGTCCTAAGGTTACACAGGTTGAGAATCACTGATCTAGGTCACCCGCTGCAATGAAACGTCTATGCTCACCTATCCTTGACGGATAGTGCGGCCGATGTATAGCAGATTGCATGGACATTTTAGACCATAGATGACATGGTCATGTGAACAAGTGATAAACTGTTTCATTGGATGGAAGTTGTTCAAATTATCTGTGAATTCGGATTGACCATGGGTAATAAATTGGCAAGTGAGGCAGCGTGGTTTCCTACATTGGTAGGTGCCCACTCTGTTGTCAAACCTAGGGTCTGGTATCTTGTCCTCACCAGAATCACGGAATATACTGGGTGCTAATCTGTTTTTCAAATTTCTAGCCTTCCTAAAGGTCACCGAGGGTCTGGCTGGAATCGAAGGGCCTAATTTGGGATCCCGTTGTAAAATGTGCCAGTTTTTGCGTAAAATGCGTTGTATTGCATTATGGTTGTTGTTGAAGGTGGTGATGAATCTCACATCACCCTCAATGTCGGTGCGTGTGATTTTTTTATGGGGGGAAAGGGGTTCCAGATAAGTTGAGTAAGCATCATGGATTAAAGTGTCAGGTTATGATTCGTCCTTTATTTGTTTGCGAGGAGCTGGCTCTGTGTGTTGTAGTCAGTAAACTTTGAACAGTTGCGCTTCAGCCTACAGAACTGGCTTTTAAGGATATTTTTTATCCATCTAGGATGGTGACAACTCTGGAAGTGCATGTAGGAATTGCCCCCAGTAGGGTTTACATGATTATTAGTGATGATGGTTGTGCCCTCAAAAGAGAGTTCTAGATCTAAAAAGGTCAGTTTAGATGGATCGAACATGTGTGTGAAGGAGAGACCTAACCTGTTATTATTGCAATGTGAAACAAACTCCAATATGGACTCAATTGGACCATCCCAAATGATGATATGGTTTTGGAATGGGATGTCCATCAGCCTCATAGGGGTGTGATGGTCAGGTGTCTATGAACCTTTTCCTATGTAATGTATCCACATCCAAAAATATAAGCATTTAGTTACCTTTTCTCTGCTTCTCCACATCGGATTGTAGATCCCTCACTTGTCTCTCCAAAGTAGAGATTTGCTTTTTCAGATCTTCGAGCGCTAAGGAAGATTAGAGATTCAGACAAGTTCACCACCTCACAGGCAACGCAATGTCTTTACTTTGTATTTACCCCTTTAATTTTTGGTCCTGACTATAACAATCAGTAGATCGCTTCTGAAAGGGCCACATGTATATCTAAGTGCCCAAAATATAAGTACAGTAATACTGGAGCTATATTGTAGAATGTCAATCTGGGATGTATCCAATCACCTTGAGACATCAGGAGGAATATTTACCCCTCAGGATCACACTTTATAGGGATTTTTTTGTCTTCCCCTGGATCCATTATGGGTTGAGGGAATTGTTTTTATCATGGTGGACAGGTATCTAATTCTACCTGAGCAACTATTTAACTTTACAAAATGAACAAAGAAACTATATGCAAAGTCACTAAACAAACCCTTTCTGGAAGTCCTCCAATTCACCCTTCTTGGGATTGAATGGTGAGGAGTTTCTTATGAGTATTTCCTAATCGGTATGAGGAAAATACCCATGTGCCAACTTAAAAAGTCTTCAGACACCTCCCTCTGGACCTCAGTCCCCTCCCATCCATCTGCAGTCCCTTGCCATCCATCTGAAGTCCCCTCCCACTTTCCTTCAATCTCCCGCCCACAGTCTGCAGCCTCCCCCAATCCCACTAGTTTGCATTCCCTTCCCACCTGCCTGCAGTCCTTTCACACCTATCTACAGTTCCCTCCCACCTTCCTGCATTTCCCTTCCCACCTATTCACAATCCCCTCCCATCTGCCTGCTGTCCACAGTCCCTGCTCCCCCTTCTACAGCCCCTCCTTCCTATCTGCATTTCCATCCCCACCTATTCACAGT